GGCTGCGGTGGCCGGGAGTGGCCACTGCACTCCAGTCTGGGCAACAGAGTGAGACTCCAACTCAAAAAAAAAAAAGCCCCTGAGCTCTGACAGTCTGCTGTTAAAATAGACAACTTTTTACTAGGCGTAGTGGCTCACACCTGTAATCCCAGCACTTTGGGAGGCCAAGGCAGAAGGATCGCCTGAGCCCAGTCTGGGCAACATAGTGAGACCTCGTCTCTACAAAAAATACAAAAATTAGCCAGACACAAGTACTCAAGGCCACAGTCCCCGCTACTCGGGAGGCTGAGGCAGGAGGATTGCCTGAGCCCAGGAGATCAAGGCTACGATGCGCCACGATCATGCCACTGCATTCCAGCCTGTGTGACAGAGACCCTGTCTCAATCAATCAATCAATCAATCAATAACTTGCAAAGCCCCTTTGGGTAACAGAGGGCCCCACCCACCTTGCTGGTACACCCACAAGGCTTCGTAGAGTGACACCAGCAGTGGAGCTCGAGGGCAGGGGAGGATGGAGGGAACTCCATAGCGCCTTGACACCCATACTTCCTTCAGCGAGGCCCGTGGCATGTGGCCTCGGCCCTCAAGGTCAGTGGATGCAATCCAGGACCCCAGGCCCTTCTGAGAGTTAACTGGGCCCCTTTGGAATAGATGCCCCCCAATTCATGGCCTCAGGGGTCCAGGCTTTCTGCGGCCCACCCAGAAGGAAGACCTTTGAGCCCAAGAAGGCTTAGTTTGCTTTTTGTTGTTGTTGAGTTGGAGTCTCACTCTGTCGCCCAAGCTGGAGTGCAGTGGCACGCTCACGGCCACCCCAGCATCGGCCTGCTGGGCTCTGGCGATTCTTCCACCTCAGTCTTCCAAGCAGCTGGAACTACAGGTATGTGCTACCATGCTCAACTAATTTTTGATGTATTGTAGAGATGAGGTCGCCACGTTGCCCGAGCTGCTCTTGAACCTGCAGGCTCAGGCAATCCACTCGCCTTGGCCTCCCAAAGTGCTGGGATTACAGGCTGAGCCACTGATCCCAGCCTAGTTTGCTGTTTGACGAACGTCTCTTCTAGGGAGAAGAAGTAGGGCCCCTGGAGCTCGAGATCAAAAGGCTGACCAAGCTGATCGAGGAGCACAGTGCCAGCATTGTCCAGGCCCAGGTGACCTGGCTCCGCCTGCAACAGGAGATGGTGAAGGTCACGCAGGAGCGCGAGGAGCAGCTGGTGTCCCTCGACTGGTCCAAGAAGGAGCTTCACATCCTGGAACAAAAGAAGCTAAGGATAGAAAGTGAGTGCCCCGTGCTCGGCTGACTTACAGACAAGCAGCTGCAACGGGGGGGGGGGCGCGAGGCCCACCTCCTAGGGACAAGCCCACTCAGGGACATGTCCCACCACGTTCACGCTGCCTTAAAGCAAACAACGAAAGTGCCGGCGTATGTATATTGTGAACGTAAGCTTAAGTCTGCCCAGATGCCCAGTTTGCTGTCACAGTGTGAGGCTGGAGAAAATTTACCACACGTGTCCAAGTTCACAGACCTCAAGGAGTCTCCTAGACAGATAAGCTTCCAAAGTTGTCATCCCGGCCAATGCACATACACAGAGCCAGGGTCCTGCATGGTGGACTTCAGCAAGATGATGTCCCAGGTCACCCCCAGCTAGACTCTGAACACTGTTTCACTGGGAGGTCCCCACCCTTCTAAGACCAGAGGGTCTGCCAAAGTGCCGGGGTGCCCAGAACAGGGAAGGTGAGTGTCCTTTTTGGGCCACCATCCACGCACAGGACCCCCTGCAGAGACATCCTCCATCCCGCTTGGTCTTGGGTCAGGAATCCATGCAGGTCAGGCCTGTCACAAGTCCCCCGTGGGAAGTGGGGCTGCTCTCCCCAGACACATCACGTGCCACTTCTCAGAGGTCCTGCTGCCTCGTGCCCTGCCCTTGGTGAGTCGAGATCACCAAAAGATGCTGCGGAGCTGTCAGCTGAACGCAGTGTCATAAAGCAGGAGGCGGCTGAAATACCAGGTTGTGAGACGGGGTGGGACCACCCAGAGCGAGAGCAGATAAAGGGGCTCAGGTGGCCATGCCCTGGAGCATTCGGTAAAGCTGGTAAGAAAAGCAGGGGGACCTGGGAAATGGAATTGGGAGGAGTAGCCAGTTAATGAACACATTATGAACATCTGTGTGCTTTCCATCTTAATATCAGACTGGGGTAGTACCTCATGCCTATAATCCCAGCACTTAAAAGGTCGAGGCCAGAGGATCACTTGAGCCCAGGAGTTCAAGACCTGCCTGGGCAACACAGTGAAACACTGTCTCTACCAAAAATATTTAAAAATTAGACAGGTGTGGTGACCTGTGCCTGTAGTCCCAGCTACTTTGGAGGCTGAGACAGAAGGATCACTTGAGCCAAAGAGGTCGAGGCTGCAGTGAGCTGTGATCACTGGGCATCAGAGTGAGACCCTGTCCCTAAAAACCAATAATAATAAATAAGAATATCTGTCATTCTCTGTCCTTTGACACCCCTGACCTTGGCTGGGGCAGGGCAGAGGGCTAAGGACCCCCCTTTCCTGGAGACTCAGAGTGGGAACCCCAGCCATGTCCCCACTGTCCAGGGAACGGCAAGAGTCCTGGGGAGGGAGATGGACCCCTGCTGCTCACTCCTCCTACACCTAAAGGTTGTCCCAGCACATGGGTCTTCTCCCTTCTCCCGAAGAGCATGAGGAAACTTACAGGCCAGGAAGATGCACCCTCCTGGAAGGACCAGTGTGTGTGACCGGGGGAGCTACTGGGAGAAACAAGCCCCCAGCTCATCTCATTGCTGCTGTGTGGTCCCCAGGTCTCTCTCCCCACCCCCACCCCTCTGTTCTCTGCCGCAGGCAAGATCGATCAAGAGAAGAAGGAGCAAAAGGAGATTGAGCGCCACACGAAGGAATTGGACAACGACCTGAAGAAGCTCAACGTGCTGATTAATAGAAACCGGTGCAGCTCGGAGGAGCTGCAGCAGGACAACCTGGTGACCGAGAACACGTTTGTGCGCTCACTGAAGGTCAGGTGACACCCCCACCGCACCCACTCGTTAACCCAGGGCACAGAATGAAGGAGGGCGAGCACACGAATGGACACAGTGTCCCTGACTTGGGCGCATTGCCCCGGGACATAGGGCCATGCTACCTTCCAGATGCATGTGGAGGGATGAGAAATCTGGCCCACTGTCCTGCTGTTCACGCGAGGACTTGGAGAGCACGGGATGGCGCCCGTGATCCCATGGCCCTGCCCACAGCCGTGCTGCCCTCTCTCCCCATGCAGGCCTCTGAGAGGGAGACCATGGAGATGCAGGAGAAGCTAGACCAGCTCAGTGAGGAGAAGGCGGCCATCCTTAACAGCCTGGTGGAAGCAGAGTGAGTCCCCACCTCAGAGCTAGGCATGTGTTATAAGCGTCACTGCCCCTGCAGTCTGAGGGTGCGGCTACAATCCAGTCAACGCCGCTGGGGGTGTGGTTCCACGGCCCACCCTAGCGGATCCAGAGCAACCCCAAGAACAACCGGAACCCCTGCAGAGTTCTGGTCGACCACCCTCAGGGGCGCTCTTGAGCCAAATCAGTCATTGCTAGAAATCAAGTGGTCTTCTTTGGGATAAACTTTAAAATATATATATATATTACTTTTAAGGTTCCTGGTTATAAAAGTAGCACATACCCCACTCCTGCTCTGAACATTTTTTTTTTTTTTTTGAGTTGGAGTCTCACTCTGTCACCCAGACTGGAGTGCAGTAGCCGCTCCCAGCCACCGCAGTCTCACCTGCTGGGCTCTGGCGATCCTTCCGCCTCAGCCTTCCGAGTAGCCGGAATTACAGGCACGCGCTACCACGCCTGGCTGATTTTTTTATTTATTGTAGAGATGAGGTCTCGCTGCCCAGGCAGGTCTCGAACCCGCGGGCTCAGGCAATTCACTCACCTCAGCCTCCCAAAGGCGCGGGATTACAGGCTGAGCCACTGACCCCGGCTGCTCTGAACATTTTAAACTATAACATGTGCAAAATTTCAAGGGAAAATTATATCATTCCAACTCTCTTCCCTTACCTGAAAACCATTGTGTAGATACCTTTCTTTGTTTTTGCTCTGTTTTTCACAAAAATGGGATTGTTCTATGCGTTCCCCTTTGGAGCAGTTTTGTATTTTCGTGGCTGCCTTTCCACACCAGTGCACGTGGGTCTGCATCCCCAGTTGGATGGTTGCTGAGTAGGCGTCGTGTGGACACACGTGATTTATTTAACTAGCCCTGGAAGAGAATGAGCACCAAAGGGATCATCTATCCCTTGTAGTTTGATAGAATCTAGGCAAAAAACCATCTGAACCGATGCTTGCGGGGGGGGGCAATGTATCCTTGGTGACATTGTAATCGCTTTAAGACTGTTGGTCTAGTCAAGATTTTTACTTCTTCTTAAGTCAACCCCTATCAGTTATATTTATTTCCTCAGCTTCTAAAGTTGTATATTCATGCTCTCTCTCCTCCTCCTCTTCCTCTGCTTCTCTTCCTTCCTCCGTCTCTCTTTCTCCCTCCCTCTCCGTCTGTCTCCCTCTCTCCCTCTATGCAGAGGTTTATCTTTTTGGGGGTTGGCCATCGTGTCTGTAAGGAGCCGGATAGGACACAGTTCAGATTTTGTGAGCCTTACAGTCTCTGCCCTGGCTGCTCAACACTGCCATCGTAGCGCGAGCTACGCCCTGTCCCTTGGAGTACGAGCTCGCCAAAGCATTAGAAGAAAACTTCTAATTTTCCCAGTTCTTATATTCTCTCTCCTTCCTCTAAAGACACCAGATTATGCTTTGGGAGAAAAAAATCCAACTGGCCAAAGAGATGCGCTCCTCAGTGGATTCCGAGGTCGGCCAGACGGAGATCCAAGCCATGAAGGCCGAGATCCACAGGATGAAGGTGAGCAGAGGGGAGTGGGAGGCCAGGGCCTGGTGGCACCACCCCATGGGCTCTAGGGAGCCTGGCCACACTGAGGCCTCAGCTCTCCCCGACACCTGTGGGAACCACACGGGCCACCCTGGCTGGTGGCAATTGGTGAGATTCCTGGGGAGGGACCCACTCCAGCATGGTGAGCTGCCCGCCAACCAAGTGCCAAGTGCATCGTTCCCCTTGACCTGCCTCTCGCAGAAGGATCTGCCCACTTTTGTTCTCACTGCACAGAAACAGTACAGAACAGCACAGGACACATGCACAAGTATGTGTGTATGATGTCACAAAATGCTACTTTATCCTTACTCCATGCAATCAGGGGACTGATATTTTTAAATGCTGGTTGTGGCGCCCAAACTTCACGGCCCTCTAGTGAGCTCTACCCACTGTGAGACAAAAAGAGTCTCACGTAATAAAAGGGCTCAGAGAACGCCCTGCCTCATCCCTCGGCCATGTTTTCTCTCCACAGCTACATTTAGCTTGATTTAATTGCCTTGAAAAAGGCTGGTAATTAAATCACAAGTGGTCCTCCAGCTAAAGGTTCAGGGCCTTAAGGATAAAAATAGGGGCAGTTAATAAAAATAAATGTGGCATCACTTTCACAATGCCATTTTAAATAAAATCCCTCTGGCAGTTGAGTCATTTTTCAGATCAAATGCATATGCTACTAATACAGTTTTTAAAAATATACTTCATTTAATTGACTTCTCAAGCCACAGATGCCACGTGTGTTTGCAGCAGCAAGCCAAGTTCACAGAGAGCAGCAAAGATGAGGTCCGGGATTCCCAACAGGCCCCATTCCGCCACTCCCAGTTTCCCCTTCTCAGTCAGGATAACTGTGCCAGCCCCCACAGGATAAGAGATCATACACACCTCATATCTTACACAAACGCACACGGACAGGGCTTACCTTCCTCCCTACTTCTGGTGTTTGTTTTTCCTTAATATAGTGTACATGTAGAATTCTACAACTTATTTATTTTTTATAGAGTTGTAGGGTACACAGGAGATTTCACCACACAAGTAGGCTGCATGCAAGTGAAGTTTGGGCTTCTAGGTGGCCCTCACTCCCCTGGAAGTGGACCAGGTACCCATTGTGTTGTCAAGTCCCCTCACCCTCCTCCCTCCCTCCCCTAGATGCAACTTATTTTATTATTTTTTTTTTTTTAAGTTGGAGTCTCACTCTGTCGCCCAAACTGGAGTACAGTGGCACGCTCCCGGTCACCGCAGCCTCAACCTGCTGGGCTCCGGCGATCCTTCCGCCTCAGCCTTCCCAGTAGCTGGAACTACAGGCACGCGCTACCACGCCTGGTTAATTATTTGATTTATTGTAGAGATGAAGTCTCACCAAGTTGCCCAGGCGGGTCTCGAACCTGAAGGCTCCGGCAATCCACTCATCTCAGCCTCCCAAAGACACGGGATTACAGGCTGAGCCACCGAGCCCGGCTAACCCATTCTTCTAAGAGTTACAAAACATACTATGGATAGATCACAATTTATTGATACGTTCTCAGGTTGATGAAAATTCAGACTTTTTCCAGTTTGTTGTTGTTGTTTGTTGCTAGAAACAATGTGTATTATTCAGGGTTCTCTAGAAAAAAGCAGAAATAACAGAATACACAGAGAGAGAGACAGACAGAAACAGACACACAGACTGGCTGGTTGTGAAAATTGACTCATGTGACAATGATATCGGAGAAGTCCTGCAATCTGCTATCTACAAGCTGGGACCTGGGAGAGCCAGTAATGTGATTCAGTCCAAGTCCAAAGACCTGAGAAGGGGAGCCAATGGTGTCACTCCCAGTCCAATGTCCCAGCTCAAGAAGAAAGAGTAAATTCACCCTTTTTCCAGTTTTTTTTTTTTTTACTTAGGCTTGCAACAGGTTGGATGATGCCTGCTTTGGTGAGAGAAGATCTTTTTTACTCAGTCTACCCGTTCAAATGCCACCTCTTCTGGAAATGCCCTCACAGATGAACCCAGAAAGAATGTTTTACCAACTGTCTGGGCATTCCTTGGCCCAGTCAAGTTGACACATAACATCAATCGTTACACAATGTTACAGTAATATCCTTCCCTAGGGTTCTTTTGGTGGTGGTGTTGCTGCTCCTAGATTCTCTTTTGGGTACTAGAGTCCCAGAAGCAGGATTTCTAGGTCAAAGAATATATAAATGCTGACTGTAATCAAGCCTGACAGATTACTTTTCCAAAAAGTAATTCCAAAACGTAGTGACAGTGGCCATGTCCCTACCACCTCAATGGTTTTGGGTGTTATCTGTCTGTTAATCTTTTTTATTTTTATTGAGGTATTGTGTAAAAGTTCACAATTTGGGGCAATCAGCCCTTTGAGTTTTGGCAAAGCTGCACAATCATGTAGCTACCATCACATCGTGATATAAGATATTTCCGTCATCCTAGATTCCCTCATGCCTTCTGTAGTCAGACTGCCCCACACCCCAGCTATTGACAACCACCAATCTGTTTCCATTCCTGTAGTTTTGGCTTTTCCAGAATGTCACATAATGTGGATCAAACAGGGTGAAGCATATTGAGCCTGGCTCTCCTCACTTAGCCTCATGCATTTGAGATCTGCCTGTGTGACGACATCCAATTACCCACTCTGTTCTTTTACGGAGCGTTTTGGTAGTGCAGCTAAGACATCTTTGTCCAGCCCGAGGTCACAAATATTTTCTGTTTTCTTCCAGAAACCTCATGCCTTTAGTTTTACTTTTATTTAGGTTCATGATCTATTTTGAGCTACTTTTTGTATATGCTGCCAGTGGTGGATTGGGGTGGAAATCTTTGCATTTGAATGTCACTCGTCTCAGCCCCACTTAGTGAAAAGACTGCCTTTTCTCCATAGAATTTCCTTCTAGCCCTTGTTGAAATCAGTTGACCATATTTGCGTGGGTCTGTTTCTGGCTCTCTACTCTGTTCCACTGATTTATATTTCTGCCCTTTCATCAGTATCCCACTGTTCTGATTTCTATAACGCTATACTTAGGAGATTCCTCCAACTTTGATCTTTTCTTTCACAATTGTTTTGTCTATTCTATATAGTTTTCCTTTTCATAAAAATTTGAGAATCAGCTTATCAATTTCTATAAAAACTTCTGCCGAGAATGTGATTGGAATTGCATTGACTCTATAGGTCCGTTTAGGAAGAATTGACATGTTACCAGCCCTGAGTTTTCCAGTCCGTGTACACAATATCTCTCGCCATCTATTCAAGGTCTTGTTTGATTTCCTCTGTCAGTGTTTTTAGTTTTTGGCATCCAGATCTTGCTTACATTTTGTTAGATATAGACCTAAGTGTGCCATGTTTGTCAGTGCTATTATAAATGATAGGTTTTAAAATTCCAGTCTCTAGTTGTTCATTGTTAGTATGCCGAAATACAATGGATTTTTGTATGTTAACTTTGTTTCTGTGTCTTTGGTAAATTCACTTATTTATCAGCCTTTGATGTTTGACCATCCACAGTATGAAAAGGGGAGTCTCACTCTTACGTGCATTGCTGGTTCATTGCAAAGTGCATGGGGAATTGAGTGGGCGTGTGTGTGTGTGTGTGTGTGTGTGTGTGTGTGTGTTTGTGTGTGTGTTTGTGTATGTGAGAGAGAGAGAGAGAGAGAGAGAGAGAGAGAGAGACTGGCATTCCCTCATTTGGGAGTTGCCTGTTCATATCTTTGACTGATTTTCATATTGAGCTGTTCTCTTATTTCTTAACAACTGGGGGGTTATCAATCCCTGCCTTTAATACCTATTAAATATAGTGTCTCTTGGTCCATCATTTGCCATTACCTTCTGTTTAGAATGTTCTTACCAGACCAATTTTTTAATGTTTCTATTGTGTGACGTGTCAGTCTTTTTCTTCATGGCTTCTGGGTCTCCTATGTTGCATAAGAAGCTCACCTCAGTTTGGAGCCACACACATATATTTCTAACTTCTTTTCAACTGTTTCACAGACTTTAATCTTGAGCCCACCTGGACTTTATTTGGGGTTATGGTGTGAAGCAAGGGTTCATCTCTATCTTCTGTCAGCCAGGGTGTTCATGTCAACAGCCTGTATTAAATAATCTGTGCTTTCTTGCTGAATTGAATGACCACATCGATCACACGGTGGTCCCCACAGAGATGCTGTCTTCCTTCTCTACCATCCTCATTTCATGCTCTCTGGTCCCTTGGGACAATCACTTTGACAAAACCTGTGCCAGCTCCAGAGCATTTTATTATTGTCACTCTATGGAACATTTTAAAATCAGGGTAGGCTTGTTGGTCTCCCTCAACCATTCTTAACTTGGGGATTCTTGCCTGTTTTTTTCTTTTAGGCATAACGTACATATAAGAAGATATGCTTATTTTATTTATTTGTTTGTTTGTTTATTTATTTATTTATTTTTGAGTTGGAGTCTCACTCTCTCACCCAGACTGGAGTGCAGTGGCTGCTCCCAGTCACTGCAGCCTCGACCTGCTGGACTCCGGCGATCCTTCCGCTTCAGCCTTCCAAGTAGCTGGAACTACAGGTGCACGCTACCACACCTGGCTAATTTTGGATTTATTGTAGAGATGAGGTCTTGCCAAGTTGCCCAGGCGGGTCTCGAACCCATGGGCTCAGGCAATCCACTCAACTCAGCCTCCCAAAGCGCTGGGATTACAGGCTGAGCCACCAAGCCCAGCCAGATATGCTTATTTTAAGCATACAGTTTATTGGGCTCTAACACATGCACACATCTATGTAGCCACCGACACAATTGAGACATATCATCTTTCTGTGACTCCAGAAACTTCCCCCGCACCCCTGCAGCCAGTCCTCACCCTGCAACCCAGTCCTCAGCCCCAGGTCCATAGACTCTCAGCCCAGCTTCACCTACACATTGCCACCTTACAGAGCCGCAGTGCATTGTCCCAACTAAGAAATCAACCTTAGTACTATACTACTAACCAAACTGTAAACTCTAATCAGATCTCACCAGTTTCCTCCATAATACCTATTCTCTTTTCCAGGCCCCGATCTGGGGTTGCATTTGGTTCTCATGTCTCCTTCATCGCCTCTGGTCTCTGGCAGTTTCTCAGCCTCGCCCTGTTTGCCTGCATATCCTGTGTGCAACAGGAACACTGTCCAGGCCTGGGGTGACGCCTCCAGATCCCTTGTTCCTCCTGCTGGCACAGCCCTCATTGTTCTCTGCCAGACCCATCTGGTGTGACTGAAGTTTGAGCAGGTGGCCTCCCAGCCGCTCACCGTGCAGCCACGGCCCGCCTTGCTCCAGCCCCTCTGTCCTGTGCTCCCAGGTCAAGCACGGGCAGCTGCTGAAGCAGCAGGAGAAGATGATCCGCAACATGGAGCTGGCCGTCGCCCGCAGAGACACCATTGCTACCCAGGCCGAGGGTCAGGGCAAGATGGACAGGAACGTGCTCACTCGTGCAGGCTTCCACCACAAGCAGATTGAGTTGCGGCGGAAAATCAAGGACACTCACAAGGTAGGGAGCAGTGTGAAAGGAAAGAGAGATCAAAAGAATCTCTTTCTCCCTCCGTGGCCCAATGAACATTCCAGAAAGGCGTTCCTGCTCAGGCTCAATGTCTGTTGTAGGAGCTGGGGCTTTGTGCTAGTGTCTGCTGGTGTTCTTTGCACACACTCAGCATGCATTACCACCCCCCCGCTGGCCAGGGCTGTCCGCCTGCTAAACCTCCTGCCCTGCCATCACAACGCTGTCTCCTCTCCTGTCCCATTTCCATCGCTTGCATCTGGGCTGTACGTCATGCCATGAGCTGCAGTCAGTGTTGCTGTGTCTCAACTGTGACCAAGAAGTGACGGTGGGCACAGTGGGGATGCGAGAGCCCAGCTCTAGAACCAGACAGACCAGCCTGTCCCGCATTGTGATGAAAGCTGCTGCATCCCCTGGGCCTCAACTGCCCCAGCTGTGAACAGAGACACATGACCCAGGTGCTGGGCCCCAGGAGTGAGGATGCAGTGGCAGTCAGAGGGGTGGCCTGCTCAGGGATGCTATTGTTCTGCTGTCACAGGGCCTGTCTTTGGGAGTTTGTCTTGGGTTTAGCAGGATACTTGCACTGGGATGGTGCCATGTAGGGCCAGAGACAGCTGTGTTTCAGCCCCTTTTTGCTTAACAGAAGTGACATCAAGGAAGCACAGAGCAATGGGGAAGGGGAAGCCCATGCACTGAGGACCCCGAGCGGGTGCCAGAGATGGGCTGATGGGAGCATGGTCGACATCCCAAGTGCGCGTGTCCCCATCCTCCAGGCTACATCGACTGAGTGTGTAGTGCCTGACCTGTCCTGGGAGGGACTAGTGCTACCTGGTGTCCACTCCCTCAGCCATTGCCAGGCCAGGGCTCGGGGCTCAGATTTCCCAGGCTGGCCCCACAGCCACAGTGACCGGCTGTGTGGCTTTGGGAACATGTGGAGCCCTTTCAAGCCTGCAGCTCCCTGTCTGCTGGGGATGGGGGGGACAGAGCCAAATGCGACAGCAGCCATGGCCATGTGCAGTGAGATGGCCTTAGGGACAGTGGAGAGCACAACCTTGGAGCCCTGCCATTCCAGTCATGACTTGGGCATACTGTCTGACTTCTTGATGCTTCAGTTTACTGACCTGTGAAATGGGCACCCATCTCTAGGAGTCATTCAGAGGGTTACATGGAGATTGTTAAAATAGCCCTTGTAGGGTAAATCCTATATGGGGAAAGGTTAGTGGAAAACGACAGATGTGCCTGGATTGCTCATTTGGGAGTTGCTGGAAGTTTCTGGAAAGAGGTGACAGAGTGACCTCTTCTCAGTCCTTGTCCACCACACTGACCACTTCTAACGTCTACCCTTCCTCAGCTTCCTGTCCTGGCCCCAGCCTTTCTTCATTGTCCTGGGCTTCTTAGTCCACTGCCGGGATCCCCACACCCACCCCTTGCCCCACATCTGGCTCCAAGCAGTACCCAAATCCTCCTGTCCCCATGCCACGCCCCACACTGATGCACAGACAGGGCCTTTTCCCCATCCCTGCCTTGCCTGTCCCAAAGTCCTTCCACATCCCCAGTCAGTCCCTGAGAGTCAGTTGTCCCTCCTCCTTCATCATTCCTGGGGCCCTGCCAGCTGCCAGGAGCTGCCTGGTTTACCCTTCTCTTAGCTGTGCTTCTTCCCCCGATGGCAGAAACAATACCACGTGGAAGGTGCCTGGCCTCACCATCCAGCTCTCTGCTGCAGAAGGATTCTGCGAGGATTCTGCAGGGAGGCCCCAGCCTCCTCTTTCCCACACTCCCCAGCCCACCTCTCCATCCCTTATAGCCTTGGCCCTGCCCTTAGCACAAAGCTGTTGAGCTGTCCCTGGTTCCCATGCCCGAGCAGACAGACCCACTGCAGGAGAAGGCACCCAGAACTTCTCAGGCCACCCACGTCTCTCTCTAAGCCATAAGGGAGCAGTGTGGCTCATCCAGGCCCTGGCAGCTCACAGGTGCTCACCTCTCCTGGCAATACGTCCCTGAAGATCAGAGCCTCCTTGATTCTCCTCTGGGAGTCCTCCCTGGATAAAGTATACAGAAGGCACCTGGCAAGTCCTTACAGCCTGATTCTTCTCTGTCCACCAAGTAGCCAGTATGTGGGGGCCTAGCGTGGTCCTGTTTATGTCCTAGGCCACCGAGGAGTGCACCAAGACCATCCTGGAACTGGAAGAAACACAGAGAAATGTGAGCAACTCCCTCCTGGAGAAGCAGAAAAACCTGTCTGCCATGCAGGCAGACCTCGACATGGTCGAAGCCGACCTTGACCAACTCATGGCCCTCAAGCGACAGGTAAAAAAAAAAAAAACCCAGGAGGTCACCAGGGCTGATGGCACCTCAGTCATAAAATATGCCACCCACATAGAAGCCCCGTGTCCCTGGGCTAAGGCCCCTCCTGATCCCAGGCTAATAACGGCACAGTCAACTGCCCACATTTGTGTGGCTTATTCATTCAATAAATATTGATTGTGTATCTATTACGGGCCAGCAGTGTTCTGGGTGCTAGGGCTACAGAACAGCACAAAGAAGACAAAGCCCTTGCCCTCCTGGAGGCTGCATGCTGGGCAGGAGTTCAGACTATAAACAAAAAATAAGAAAGAGGGTATGGCGGGGTAGATGATGATAAATGCTTTGGGGAGAAATAAAGAAGAGACAGGAGCATCAGTAGAATGAGGGCTTAAGATTTTATTTATTATTTATTTATTTTTGAGTTGGAGTCTTACTCTGTCACCCAGACTGGAGTGCAGCAGCATGTCCCGGCCACCGCAGCCTCAATCTGCAAGGCTTACACAATCCTTCTGCCTCAGTCTTCCAAGTAGCTGGAGCTACAGGCGCGCACTACCACACCCGGCTAATTTTTGATTTATTGTAGAGACGAGGTCTCACCAAGTTGCCCGTGCTGGTCTCGAACCCGTGGGTTCAGGCAATCCACTCGCCTTGGCCTCCCAAAGTGCTGGGATTACAGGCTGAGCCACGGAGCCTAGCCAGGGCTTAAGATTTTAAAGAGATAGAGTAGTCCAGGAAGGCCACACAGAGTGGGTGATATTTGAGTCAAGACTTGAAGGAGTTGAGAAAGGGGGATCAACCCAGGCAGCAAACAACCCCGCAAAGGAGCTTGAGACTGTCCACGGCCAGGCAGAGGCCAGCAGGGCAGGTCCTGGAGTGCGGAGATGTGGGCAGAGAGGGCCCACCTAGGCTGTGTAAAGCCTTGTGGGGGAGAGGTATCATGACTGGGTTTTTCTCTGAGGGAGGTGGGAAGACAGGGGGGCTTTAGGGCTGAGTGACTTGGGTCTTAGCAGAATACCCCCCTCTGGCAGTGAGTGTGAATGGAAAGTTGGACACAGGAGGCTGTTTGAGGCCATTGTGCTTCAGGTTGGTGGCCAAGCGGCTGGGAAGGAGCCGAGGCTGCCAAATTCTGCATATACATTATTTGAAAGTCGCCCCAGTGGGATTTCCTGCTGGCTTGGATGTGGTGTGAGCAAAAGAGAGGGGTCGAGCAGGACCGCAAGGCTCGGGCCTGATCAACTGAGATGAGGGAGACAACGAGGGGAGCATGCCCTGTATGGGGCCTGACACATGGCAGGTGTCAAGAATGGCTCCTGGCCAGGCTCCGTGGCTCAGCCTGTAATCCCAGCACTTTGGGAGGCCGAGGTGAGTGGATTGCCTGAGCCTGTCGGTTCGAGACCCACCAGGGCAACTTGGCGAGACCTCGTCTCTACAATAAATCAAAAATTAGTTGGGCATGGTAGCGCATGCCTGTAGTTCTGACTACTTGGAAGACTGAGGCGGAAAGATTGCCGGAGCCCAGCAGGTCGAGGCTGCGGTGGCCGGGAGCAGCCACTGCACTCCAGTCTGGGCGACAGAGTGAGACTCCAACTCAAAAAAAAAAAAAAAAAAAGTATGTCTTCTAGACGATGAATGGACAAAAAGACTCTGACCCAGGGAATACCAGCCTCTTCCCTGGAGGGCATCTGTGTTCAGGTGCATTTCTCTCCTTTGACATTTCTGAGCCTGAGTTTGTGGACCAGAGGGTGTCCTCCTTCAGCTTTGCATAACCTGATCCAAGCTCTCTTTTCCTGCCCAGAATCTCTCCAAGATCGTGGCCCTGCAGACGCGCCTTAAGCACCTGCAGGCAGTGAAGGAGGGGAGGTACGTGTTCCTGTTCCGCTCCCGCCAGTCTCTGCTGCTGGAGCGCCGGCGTCTGGATGAGCGCCTGGCAGCCATCGCCACCATCCTGGACCACGTGCGGGACGAGTACCCTCAGTTCCAGCAGGCCCTGCACAAGGTCAGCCAGAGGATCGCCAGCAAACTCGAGTCACCAGGGCCCTCCTAGAGAGCACCGTCCCAGGCTGGCCTCCAAGGAAGAGATCCAGAATTTTGTTTATTACAAGGGACTTAAAATCTGTTGTGTTCCTGAAAACTATGAGCACTCTCAGAAGGACATCAGTTAAGAGAAATAGGCAGGACAGCCCCACCCGTAGGAATTTTTTTAGCCACTCAGCAATTTAAACCTAGTAAAATTCCAGTGTTTCCAACTGCATCTGGTGAGCCCTCCACTCGCAAAGGCCCCTCTCCTGCCCCCACCTCGCAGTTTGGGTTACTTTCAGATGCACAACTTGCAGGAGAAAGCGTGCTGCAAGGTTAAAGCCAAAAGATCATATCCCACGTCTGCCCACCTGTCTCTTCTGCATTGCTAACCTGGTGTTCTTCCTCCACATGCTTGGATTTCCGATCACCTTATGGTTTCTCTGCAGTTTAAAGGAAATGTCCTACAAAATAATTTCACTTTCAAACCTTTCCACAGAGGAATAAAAATAAAGCTTTTTCTGAATATGGGAGCAACGCATACTTATTCTAAAGCATTGCAGAAATACAGAAACTACCACAGGAACGGGGAGATTTTAATGCCCCTACCCAGAGGCAACACTTGTTTGGCATATCTCCTTAGGTATTCATTCTGTGCATACATTTTGTTTGGCAGGTCAAGGTAATATGGCGTGTTCAGTTTTTGTGCCACACATCTAAAAGTGTGCTCATCTTAATATAAGCATTTTATTTTTATGAAAAAATCCGTAGTTAATGTTTTCGGAATCGTCGGTCTCAACGGGTTATCACGATGTTTTGACCATTCCTTTAAGGAATAAGGGTAAATTAGGGAGTGAGTTTAAGGAGCCTCCAAATTTGGGCTGTTTTAATCTGTCCGCGCTGAGCACCTCCGTCCACGTTTCCGATGACGTCCTCAGGTTGGAATCCCCGGGGGCAGGGCGCAGTTGGGCCACCTCTTACAGTCCTGACAGCTGCGGCTGGGGACGGGCCAGGACTGCACGGGCAGGTGCCACGCCCCATCTCTGACCCCAAAGGAAACGGGACCAGCCGGAGACTGCGCGAGCCGGCGCCACGCCCCATCTCTGACCTCGAGGGACCGGGGAATCCGGCCGGGACCGCGCCAGCAGGGGCCGCGCCCCATCTCTGGCAGCGGAGGAACCAGCGGCGGGGCACACCCGTCCGGCCTCTCCCCAAAAGACGCCAGACGCGCTGCCAGGTACCCGCTCCCCTGAGACACCTTCCCAACCCGAGGGCCAGAGAGCCCACGCGAGGATGCCGGGCTGCCGCCAAACAGCGCAACACGCCGCCCCGCTCTGCCAGGGCCGCCCCCAGGGGGGGCGGAGCGGGCGCGCAGCCTCGCCTGGGGCGCCTGCGCGGGCAGTCTCGTCACGTGACCCGCCGCGGCCCCCGCCCCGCGGCGCGCGCGTGCCGGCCATGTGACCCACCTCCGCGCGCGCCCGTGCTGGACCCGAGTCACGGCGGCGGCCCGGGCGCGTGCGCGGAGGTGAGCAGGGGCAGGGCTGCGGGGGCTGTTGGACCACCAGTCCTGCGGTGTCGGGGCCCCTCCGCAATAGAGGGCGGGGTCGAGGGGTGGATCGGCTGTCGCGGGCTTCCTCGTCGCAAAAGTTGAGCTAGTTGTAGCCTGGGCCGCGCGGGTCGCCGGTGGGGGGTTCCAGCAGGTGAGACCCCGGGGGGGCAGTGATCCCGTCCACACCAAGGGCCCTGGAAACTTCTAGTTTCTCGTTCATCCGCGCAGTGCTCAGCGAGGAAGGATCTGTGCGTGCCTTATCTTACAGCAGGAAACTGAGGCACAGAGCGGGTGAGACGCTTTACTCCTGCCCCGCTCTGTCGGTGGTAACACCCCAGAAGCAGATGCGAACCCGTTTGTCTGATGTTTTACCCAGCACCCGTGAGGGCAGGACTTCCAGCCTCTTCCCCGAGAGCAGAGCTTGACCTCTAGTCCTTCCCCATTTTTCCTCTGTGAATTATCAAGCTTAGAGATGACCTGGGAACCGCCCTCCTGTGTAGAGCTGGGTGTTGGAGGCTGTATGTTCCCCATTTCGAGTCTCTCTTTCCCCTTCTGGTGGACGCGGTGCTCAGGCATCGGCTGTGACCCCAGGCCCCTCTGCCGCCTATGAAAGATGCAACTGCTGGACCCTTGCCGACTGCTGAGTCTGAGCCCCTGGGGTGAGGAGTTCAGAGTTCCCTAGTGCCTGAATTATAATGATCCCGTTGAGCAGTTAGGCAAGGCAGGACTGTATTTGGTCTTTGTCCCTGATTCCTGACATGCAGTACCTAAAACCCTTGGAAACTGAGTGATCAGAGAACCTTCTGCTTGCTAATGAGATGACTGGTGGCTGGGGCGCCTAGTAGCTTCTGGATGAGGCTGATCACCCGAAGGACCAAGACCTGAGTAGAAAGCTGGGACTGTGTTCGCTTGGGCAGCATATATACTAAAACTGGAGCAATAGAGAAGATTAGCAGGCCCCTGCGACGACACACAAATTCGCGAAGCGTTCCATATTGTTTCAAAGCATGTGTATTTTAATTATATCAAAAGTGCTCTGTTATAAAAATAATGCTACTAAATAAAAACGTATGTTTTTTTTTTTTTTAAAAGGCTGGGACTTTCAGCCCACCCCTTCTCCAGGGAGGGAGGGGAGAGGAGCTGAAGATTGAGTTAATCACTAGTGTCCAATGATTTCGTCATGTCTGGGTGATGGAACCTCCTCCATAAAGACCCCTAAACAGGGATCGGAGAGCCTAGAGCCTGGGAGGGCTGGTTCACCCAGAGAGGACATGGGAGCTCTGCCCATCCCCCACTCCGCCTTGCCCTGCAGGTCTCTTCATTCCGCTCTTGAGTTGTAATCTTTGTAATAAACTAGAAATGTAAGACAAGCCCTTTCCTGGCTCACGTCTATAATCCTAGCACTTTGGTAGGCCAAGGTGAGAGAATTGCCTGAGTCCTTGGGTTCGAGACCAACGTGGGCAACTTGACAAGACCTCATCTCTACAATAAATCAAAAAAAGTAGCCTGGCATGGTGGTGCACACCCATAGTTCCAGCTATTTGGAAGGCTGAGGCAGAAGGATCACCTGAGCTCAGCAGGTGGAAGCTGCGGTGGCGGTGAGCATGCCGCTGCACTCCAACCTGGGCGACAGAGTGAGACTTCAACTCAAAATAGATAAATCAAAAGAAAGAAGAGCACTTTCCTGAGTTCTGTGAGCCATTCTGGTGAGTTATTGAACCTGACGAGGGGGTCGTAGGAATCCCTAAATTTATAACTACAATTGACAACCTGGGACTTGCAGTTGGCATCTGGAGTAGGTCTAGTCTTGTGGGACTGAGCTCCTAACCTGTGGGATACTCACTAACTCTGGGTAGTTAGTGCCAGAACTGGATTGAATTGTAGGACACCTAGCTGGTGTCTGGAAAATTGGAGAATTGATTGGTGTGAGAACAAACTCACATTTGTTGTCAGTTGTGGGTAAATGTTTAAATCTCAAGCCCAGAGCACCATCATTTATCATTGGCCCATGGTGGAATGCTAAGCACTGATGCTGGTCAAAACATTCCCAGCCTACCCTTTTGTAACATGACCAGGTTGTGACATGACTCGTCAAACTCCCTCAGGGCCTGCATTCTCTTCTGCCTGGTGTGTGGCTTTTTCCCGAGACCTGAGAATGTCTAACAGGATTCCCGCTACAAGGAGCTTCCCCAGCCAAGTTGCCAACTGTTGCATTCTGACATCCACCCCTACGTCTGCTCCAAGGCCTATTCCTAGGAGACCCATACTTCTCTGATGGCCAAGTTTGGTTTGAGGACCCCCCATAGACTCCCCCCACTCCCCCCATGGCCTTGCTGCTGGGAACCTTTATTCTCCTTCCCTTGGGGTCTGACTTGTGTGGGTGTGATGGCTCTCCCAGCTTTCTTCCCCATTTTCTCAGACTCCCCTAATAAAATTCATGCTTGTTTAATTCCATGTTGGTTCCCTCTGCTCCTAGGAGAAGTCAGACGAATACAATGGTCTTCATAAAATATTTAAACATAGAGAAAAGCAAAATGACGTTAGCAGTTACTAGTCACTCTTACCCCCAGAATGATCAAAGTGAGCTTCACCATTTCTGTACCTGAGGCTCACTCAGGTACAACAGCTGAAACAGAAACCATATTTCTCTCATGTACATGGGGCCGGGAGGGGCCCTGATCTGTGGAGTCTTAGGGGACAGGTCCTTTCCTGTGGTTTTGTCCACCTAGAGTGTCGCCCTTGGCTGTGGTGCCCAAGATTTCTCACCATCGTATATCTGTGTGCCTATCAGGGGAGGAACCAAGGGAACGTAGCAGGTTCCAGAATCACTTCTGCTGACATGCCCTTGACCGTGGCCACAGCCTTTATGCGGAAGTAGAGCTCCCTCCACTTGCTGTTTGACATGCTTGGTTTATGCGTAACATTTCGAAGACTTCTCCGTTCAAATATCCCGCAGTCCCTTGCCACAGTCCCTGGCCTCTCACCTGTGCTCTGGGAGGGAGGGGCCTCTGACCTACCTCACCCAACCTATAGTTAATGTCTAGGAGGTACTTTGAGATCCTGTGAGTGAGGCCCCTCCTGTTGCTTCCTCCTGCCTTTCCAGTGAGCCTGGTTCCTTCTTCCCACAGGCATCCAGCAACTGTCCATGCAACTATGAGGTGGCCACCCTGCTCCCGGACCCTGCTGGGGGTCTGCGTCCTCGTTTCCTTGGCCACAGCTGCCTTCTTGGGACATGTCTTGCTCCATGATTTCCTGGTGGTCCCCCAAGAGCCAGATGGCTTTCCCCCATTCCTGGAAGACATGCACCCAGCTCACCAGCAGGGAGCCAAGGGGCCAGGGCCCCCGCCCACCCAGGAGCACACCGGCCATCCTGGAGCAGCACCCACACAGTGCGACGTGCCCCCCAACAGCCGCTTTGACTGTGCCCCAGACAAGGCCATCACCCGGGAGCAGTGTGAGGCCCGTGGCTGTTGCTATGTCCCTGCGAGACTGGGGCCACCAGGCACTCAGATGGGGCAGCCCTGGTGCTTCTTCCCCCCCAGCTACCCCAGTTACAAGCTGGAGAACCTGAGTTCCTCTGAGACGGGCTACACGGCCACCCTGACCCGCAGCAGCCCCACCTTCTTCCCAAAGGACATTCTGACCTTACGGCTGGACGTGATGATGGAGACTGAGAGTCGCCTCCACTTCACGGTGGGCAGGAGCGGGGGCCAAGACCCGGGTGCACGCACAATTGGGGTCAGGGACCAGGACAGAGAGGACAGAGGGTGCATGTGGTGGACAGGTAGTGCACTCACACTTCACAGGGACGGGTGTGTGCTGGGGGCTGAGGTGTGAGCTGACACTGGCTCCCTTTGGAGAGCGGCAGGAGCTCTCAGTGACAGGTGCTTTGGAAGACAGGGCTAGGGCCTGTTTATCTTCATGAAAAGGAAGACCAGGTGGAATGGGGTTGCCAGAGGTGGCAAATAAAAATGGAGGATGCCCAGTAAATCTGACTTCCATATAACAGGGATGTTATATGGAAGGGATGTTAAGTGTAAGGATGCAGTATCTGGAACATAGCATACTAAAAAAAAAACCCACTTGTTGATTATCTGAAATTCAGTTACTGGGTGTTGTATATTTTACTGGTGCCCAGGAGAGGCATCTTTCCAGCTCTTTAGATGAGGAAACCTAGACTCAGAGAAGCTGAATGAGCTGCTGCGCTCATATGGCCTGTGTGCTGCTGCCAGGACCTGACATGACCGCTCAGGATGCTCTCTTCCCTCTGGAGAGTGGAGGGTAATGGGTAGACTGGTATACCTCCGTCTCTTTCTCTTTTAGATCAAAGATCCTGCTAACAAGCGCTATGAGGTGCCTCTGGAGACCCCACATGTCCGCAGCAAGGCAGTGTCCCCACTCTACAGCGTGGAGTTCTCTGAGGAGCCCTTTGGGGTGGTGGTGCGCCGGAAGCTGGGTGGCCGAGTGCTGTGAGTTTCTGGTCTCTGTGCTCCCCAGGAAAGGTTGCCCTGTCTGCCTTCGACTTCTGACCCAGTCATGGTCTGCCTTCCCCATCGGCCTCCTGGCTGTTCCTGGACCACCCAGCATGCCCACCAGGGTCTCCAGCTGATCCTCTCCCCTTCTTGGTGCGAGGCCTCCCAACTTTAAGGAGGCCTCTCCAACCATCCAGCCCGGGGCTTGCCCATGTGCTGGGTTTTCCCCAGGAGACATTTGGCTATGTTAGGAGTTTTTGGTGCTTCTGGCCTCTAGTGGGCGAGGCTAAGAGTGCTGCTGAATGTCCTACAGTGTCTAGGACCATCCTCACAAAGGGAATTGGCCCAAGGCGTTAACAGTGCCAAGGCTGAGAAACCTGGTCCGGTCTAAAGTAGACACCCACTGTAGGTATCACAGGGCAGCCATGAGGCCTGTGCCCAGTCCCGGTGCCTGCCAGTTCCTGGAGGGCAGCCTCTCAGAGGCCCATCAGTATGGCATGGACCCACTCAGGCAGCGCACTTTCTCTGACATGCCCAGTTCCAGGGTGCTGAGGGCTATGGGCCTAGCATGGCTGCCTGTCCCAGGGTCTGCATGCCACAGGGCTGGCCAGGTCACTCCACCCTCTTGGGGCACCAGGGCCAGGGGGTGTTCTCTGGGAGGATCATTGGGCTCATCTGGCCCAGTGAGTGCAAGTGAGCCCGGCCTCTACCCTGCAGGCTGAACACGACCGTGGCCCCGCTGTTCTTTGCGGACCAGTTTCTGCAGCTTTCCACCTCCCTGCCTTCCCAGTACATTGCAGGCCTCGCCGAGCACCTCAGCCCCCTGATGCTCAGCACTAGCTGGAACAAGATCACCCTGTGGAACCGTGACCTTGCACCCATGGTACAGGAAGGGGCAGCAGGGTGGGGGCCGCAGAGTCCGGGACCACAGGAGCTAAGCCACTGTCTCCTGCATGTCCCAGCCCAGCGCAAACCTCTACGGGTCCCACCCTTTCTACCTGGCACTGGAGGATGGTGGGTCGGCACACGGGGTGTTCCTGCTGAACAGCAACGCCATGGGTAAGCTGCCCCCCAACCCAAGTGCCCAGGTCTGGACTTCCCTTCACAGGTTAGCGAGAGGCCCTGCCCCGAGGCTGGAAGCAACGCAGGGCTGTGGGCACGGGACTGGACCTTGTTTTCTCCTCTGAGAAATGCGTTGGTGGGCTGAGGCCTCTCCCAGCTCTGCCCTTCCATGCCCCTAAGGAGATTCTGGGGCCCTGCCCTGGAGGTGGGCAGAGGCCAGGAAGGGAGCCTCAGGCCCAGCTGCTCCGTATCTTCCCATCCCGTGCCTGGTTCCTCGGCTCACTGTGGTGCCCCCACATCCCCCAGGCCTCTCTGGGCTCCCTGTGGGGAGAGCCTTGCCCTCCACCTGTGGTGGGCCCTTTCCAGGGAATGTGGGACCCTCTGGGTGTGATATTTGTCCCTGAGCCCCAGGGCTGCTCCCCACAGACGTGGTCCTGCAGCCAAGTCCAGCCCTCAGCTGGAGGTCAACAGGCGGCATCCTGGATGTCTACGTCTTCCTGGGCCCGGAGCCCAAGAGCGTGGTGCGGCAATATCTGGACATCGTGGGTAGGTTCTGCTCCCTGCATGGTGATGCCTACCCCTGCGACCCCACCCACCCACTCACGGCGCTGGTGTTGGCTGCAGGGTACCCATTCATGCCGCCATACTGGGGCCTGGGCTTCCACCTGTGCCGCTGGGGCTACTCCTCCACTGCCATCGTCCGTCAGGTGGTGGAGAACATGACCCGGGCGCACTTCCCCCTGGTGAGTGGGGTGAGGGTGGGGAGACGAGGGCCCAGCCGGGACATGGTTCCCCGGGCCCCAGCAGCCGGCTCCCTGCTGCCTGCAGGACGTCCAGTGGAATGATCTGGACTACATGGACGCCAGGAGGGACTTCACTTTCAACAAGGATGGCTTTAAGGACTTCCCGGCCATGGTGCAGGAGCTCCATGAGGGTGGCCGACGATACATGATGATCGTGGTGAGTACTACTTCTCCCCGTGTAGGTCTTGGGAAGGGGGCGTCCCAGTGCCCGCGGTCTTCTTCTGTATGTAGCATCTTCTTCGTGCCTGCTGTGGTCAGTCAGGATGTTTTCTGAGGGTCTTTTTAATATTGAGGGAATACCAAGAAGTTTCTGGGCTTTGCTCTGCTGTCCAGGAAGGTCCAGTTTAAGGTCCCTGGAAACATCTGTCTGTTACTCAGGATTCTTTCAGTTGTAGGTTACTTGAACTGTCCTAAAGCAAAAATGGGCAGGGGCACAATAAGTTGAAGCCACCCGGTCACCCCATTTTGGAAGGTGCTGGGTGGAGCTGGGAGTAGAGGCAGCTGGAACCATGGAGGCTCTGTGTGTCTCCTGGCCGAGCCGCTCCACGAAAGGAGGGCTGACCCAGGGCAGCTGCTGGCTCACAGCCCTGGTGCTGGCACCACAGAGCAGAGACTTCCTCCCATCAGCTCCCATAGAAAATCCCCAGGGCAGGACTCTTGAGTTGCTCGGCACAAAGACAGAACCTTCCCTGGGCCAGTTCCAGAGCCAGAAGGATGTGATTTGGCGACTGGTCCAGCCTGGGCCAGGACTTAGGGCCAGAGGTGGAGGCAGGAGTGAGAGAAGGAGGAAGGGAGGGGGCACTGAAAAGATCAAATGGCCCCCACCACAGTGACCTCCTTCAGTGGACAGGTTTGAATTGTTGCTGAGAGGTTTGAATTGAGCTGACTCTGCCCATTTCCAAATGTGCCCCTCTGAGGGCAAGTAGGCGTGAGTGGCCACTCAGAGCAGGGAGGGTAAACACAGCCTTTTCTTTTTCACTATTTTTCTATGATAAAATAAATAAATGATCACTAGAGCATTTGTGAAACTCTAAAAAATTTAAAGGGTAAAGCTTGCATCCTGACACAACTGCCTTTAGCTAGTCCCGTTCCTCCCATCTCTTCTCCAGCCAGACATGTGTGTGTACACATGTGGGTGCAGTACATGTAAGCAGTAAAACTTCATGCATATATACACATGGGCATGCAGTACAGCTTCATCCTTTGCTTTGTCACTCATAAATGTCTCAAGTGCAGTTTCCTGTTTTCCCAGTGACTGGTGCCAGGGCCATATCCTCACCCTGACCAGTTTCTCTCATCCCTAGGATCCTGCCATCAGCAGCTCAGGCCCTGCTGGGAGCTACAGACCCTACGATGAGGGTCTGCGGAGGGGAGTATTCATCACCAATGGGACTGGGCAGCCACTGATTGGGAAGGTAGGGTGGGGGTCTAGGGGACAAGGGATTGGCAAGCAGGGAACAGACAAACTGCTCAGGAAGAGGGTAGGATTTTAGGAACCATCCTGTCCAGTGGGACAAATCGGGAGGAGCGAGTCATGGTTGGGAATGATGGTGGCTGCTGACAAGGAACGCCACCTTGATGTCTTCCATCAGGGGTCTTTGACTTCATGGGCAGCTGGGCCCAGCCCAGGCAGTAGCTCTGCAGACCCTCAGTGAGGCCTGGGGGTCCTCATCCTCCCAGACCCTGCTGCATCCTCCCAGCTGCTTAGATGGAGAGCTCAGCAGTCTCCCTGTTCCAGAATGTGTATCAGGCCATGAGGAAGGGGGCCCCCAGCTGAGAGAGTGTCTAGGAAAGAGTTCCCAGGTACAGATGTGTGAGACTCAATTCCAGGGCTTGGTAGGGGATGTCTCCACAGTCCTTCCCCAGTGCTCTCTGGTTCTGCAGTACAGCCCCCCGACCCCGGTGGATGTGTCAGAGGGTGGCCCCTCGTTCTCCCAGGGTTGTGGCTCCCTGGCCCAGTGTCAGTGCTTTGTGGGAAGGGATCTGTTTATCGACCCCCAGGGCATAGATCTCTTGGGTTTGCCGATTTGTGTCTCCCCACCCTGGCTTCTCGTTGTCCAGGTGTGGCCTGGATCCACCGCCTTCCCCGACTTCACCAACCCTGAGGCCCTGGACTGGTGGCAGGACATGGTGACTGAGTTCCATGCCCAGGTGCCCTTCGACGGCATGTGGATTGTGAGTGTATCCCCCACCCCTGTATGTCCCCATAGCCTCTGGGGGTCAGCCCCACCCTCTGTGCTCTGGGCAGGGTCACTCACCACCTGGGCTTCTCCTGCAGGACATGAACGAACCTTCCAACTTCGTAAGGGGCTCTGAAGATGGCTGCCCCAACAATGAACTGGAACACCCACCCTACATGCCTGGTCAGCTTTCCCACCCGCCTGCCCCAGGGGTGCCATCTGGGATTTAGTGGCTCAGATCAGGGTTTTCCTTTGTTTGGTCTGGGAGACTCAGAGCTTTCGTTTCTGAGAAGCAGGTGAGCAGCAGCCAGCCAGAAAAGGGGAGGAAGGGAGCCCCAGGAGGGGCTGAGTTGGGGGAGAGGCCAGCCAAACAACCCAGACATGGACACGGTGGAGGCATGAGTGTTGCTGAGGAAAATATTCCTCAGTGACATTTATTAGAGCACGGCTAGGCAAACTATTCAGAACCATCATGATAGGTACAGGGATCACTGCAATGAGGTCTTGCATTGGGGTGTGAGATTGGGCTCCCCTTGGCATGCAGCGCGGGCAAGTGGGGATTTATAGCAAGGAGCAGGGAGGGAGTCAGTGGGTGCAAAATTAGTAAAAGGAACATCAGGGATCGGGGAAGTCTGGCTAAACCAACCCAACAGGATTCTTGCTGAAGACACGCAATGTGATCAGACATCACTGGGGGCTGGTAGAGGATGACATGGGGGTGATCAGATATGGAGGTTGGGAGAGGAAGGTTCTTGCTAAACTGACTTAGCAGATTCTTTGTTAAAACTGGAGTTTACAGCCGGGCTCGGTGGCTCAGCCTGTAATCTCACGCCTTGAGAGGCTGAGGTGAGTGGACTACCTGAGCCCGTGGGTTCGAGACCCACCTGGGCAACTTGGCGAGACCTCATCTCTACAGTAAATCAAAAATTAGCCGGGCGTGGTAGAGCGTGCCTGTAGTTCCAGCCACTTGGAAGGCTGAGGCGGAAGGATCGCCGGAGCCCAGCAGGTCGAGGCTGCGGTGGCCGGGAGCAGCCTCTGCACTCCAGTCTGGGTGACAGAGTGAGACTCCAACTCAAAAAAAAAAAAAAAAAGCAAAACTGGGGTTTACAAGAAAGTGCACAGAGAGGCCTAGGAGAGCTTTAGAGCTGACTGACATTCAGCCACGCAAAGCATCTTTTGTCACCCTTCAGAGGGAAGGGCCCTTGGGCTTAGGTGAACAGGCAGGGGGCACTTGAATTGGGTCAGGAGACAATGGATATGAAGTCTGGGTATATGAAGTCCAGCTCTTGACACCCGCCTTGTTCCTGACACTGGGAGCAGGGGAGACTGCACAGAGATGTGCCCTGCATTCCCAGGGCGACACCATGGGCAGAGGAGTTCGTAACGGCTTCAGGATGAGGAGGCCCAGCCTGAGGAGGCAGCAACCTGCAAAGGGGCTCTGGGACTGGGGGCTGGGGGGGGGCACCACAAAGCCCTCTGGGAGGAAACTCCATTCACACCAGTCCCCCTCTCTCCTAGGGGTGGTTGGGGGCACCCTGCAGGCAGCCACCATCTGTGCCTCCAGCCACCAGTTCCTGTCCACACACTACAACCTGCACAACCTCTATGGCCTGATGGAAGCCATTGCCTCCCACAGGTGAGGGACCCGCCTGCCCTGCTCGGCTCTGCACTTGTCGGCCTGTCCCACGCGCAGGGCTGCAAGGCGGCTGGGCCTTCCCTGGGCCTGGGGCTCAAGGAGGAAAAGAAGAAACCTAGACTTCCCCAGGGTCCAGTGGGGGCTTGAGTGCTCCTCCCCTCCCCTCCCCTGGTCGCTGCCCCTCCCTCCCTCTCCACACCCCCAGCCTGGAGCCCGTGCTCTCCCTCCTGCTTCATGCCTGCTGTTTAGAGGAAAGACCTAGTGCTGAGCATGGTGGCTCCCACCTGTAATCCCAGCATTCTTGGGAGGATTGCTCGAGGCCGGGGGTTAGAGGAAGGACCTTGGATGATGTGGTGAGACAGAGGAACCTGTCTTGTGACTTCTATGAGCCTGGAGTTCATGGCACATTGGCAAATGTAGTAAGGGCGGCCCAAGCAGAGCCGACTGTGCCCAGCAGAAACTGGCGGTGGCCTTGCCATCCTCCCTGTCTCTGTCTCATCCCAGACAGCCCCTTGCTCCCAGCTCCACCCTCCTGCTGCCACTTCCAGGCACTCTACTCAGGCAGGTGGTGACTTGGTTCCCAGGTGACCCTGCTTTGCGCAGCAATCACAGTGTCCCTTGTCCACCCAGGGCTCTGGTGAAGGCTCGGGGGACACGCCCCTTTGTGATCTCACGCTCGACCTTCGCCGGCCATGGCCGATATGCCGGCCACTGGACGGGGGATGTGTGGAGCGCCTGGGAGCAGCTCTCTTCCTCTGTGCCAGGTGAGCCCCTCCAGAAGGCTGCTCAGAGGAGCCTGGAGCGGGAGGGAGGGGGGATGGGTGGGAGGAAGTGCCCTCCAAGGAGGGAGGTATGCCGGAGCCTTTGGCCACTCAGCAGACAGGTCCCCCCGGGGTCCCTGGCCTGGGCTGGCCCTGCTCTAGCAGCCTGACTCTGTCCTCCCAGAAATCCTGCAGTTTAACCTGCTGGGGGTGCCCCTGGTTGGGGCCGACATCTGCGGCTTCCTGGGCAATACCTCGGAGGAACTGTGCGTGCGCTGGACCCAGCTGGGTGCCTTCTACCCCTTCATGCGGAACCACAACGACCTTCATAGCCTGGTAGGGCCAGGGTGGCAGGGGAAGGTCCCACCCACCAAGACCCTGCCCTGGGAATCCTGACCCTGCTGGAGAAGCGCCCCGGGTCTCCCAGGGGACCCGCGGCCCCAGGGCTCAGGGGCTTGCTTTGCCCCCCACCCGGCCCACAGCCTCAGGAGCCATACAGGTTCAGCGAGCCGGCACAGCAGGCCATGAGGAAGGCCTTCGCCCTGCGCTACGCACTGCTCCCCTACCTGTACACGCTGTTTCATGCAGCCCACGTCGCCGGGGAGACCGTGGTCCGGCCCCTCTTCCTGGAGTGAGTGACCTGGACCAGGACCATGGCCCATGTGTGCCCCGGGGGAGGAGGCTAACCGTGAGCCCATGACACCCAGGCAGCCGGTCCTGCTACAGGCCATGTCCCCAGGATCAAGCAGGTTGCCACAGAGTGAGGCAAGGCCCTCCCTACTGAGGTGGCCCCGTTAGATGCCAGCTCAGGGCAGGGACATTCAAGGTATGGAGAAATTCAGGATGAAGAATGCTGATTACACCCAGGTCTACCAGCAAAGCAAGTGATAAAACCATCGTAATTGAGTCAGTTTGAACCTGACTTAAGGGAGAATGGCAAAGGAAACCCAGTAATATCAGCCTGTGATCCCAGCAGTTTGGGAGGCCAAGGTGAGTGGATTGCCTGAGCCCGCGGGTTCGAGACCCGCCTGGACAACTTGGCGAGACCTCATCTCTACAATAAATCAAAAGTTAGCCGGGCATAGTGGCGCGCACCTGAAGTTCTAGCTATTTGGAAGGCTGAGGCAGAAGGATCGCCGGAGCCCAGCAGTTTGAGGCTGCAGTGGCCAGGAGCGGCCACTGTACTCCAGTCTGGGTGACAGAGTGAGACTCCAACTCAAAAAAAGAAAAAAGATTTAGCAACACATGAGGAGTTGCTGTGTGATAAATGTGGCATCTCAGATTAGTGGGTTGTAGGACTCTTGAGTAGTAAGGTGGTTAGTTAACTATTTGCAGAAATTGATTTATTTTCCCCTCACACCATGCAAACCTAAATTGCAGATAGATTAAATAGTTAAATGTCAGCTGGGTGCGGTGGCTTATACCTATAATCTCAGCACTGTGGGAGGCTGAGGCAAGAGAATTACCTGAGTCCAGGGATTCAAGACCAGCCTGGGCAACTTGGCAGGACCTCGTCTCTACAACAAATCAAAAAATTAGCCGGGTGTGGTGGTGCAGGCCTGTAGTTCCAGCTACTTGGAAGACTGAGACAGAAGGATAACCTGAGCCCAGCAGGTCAAGGCTGCGGTGGCTGTGAGCACGCCATTGCACTCCAGTCTGTGCGACAGAGTGAGACTTCTACTCAAAAAATAATAATAAAGTAGCTGACTTAAAGTCTTTGTCTCATAAGTCCAATATCTGGTTTTCCTCAGCGACAGTTTTTACTAATTACCTTTCCCCCTTTGTGTGAAGCATACTTTCTTGTTTCTTTACGTGTCTCCTAAATTTTTGCTTCAAGCTGGACATTTTAAGTGTGACAACTCTGATCATCAGATTCCCCATCCCCTTCAGGCTTTATTGTTGCTTTTTGTTGCTGCTACTGGTTGTTTAGTGACTTTCCTGATCTAATTCTGTAAAGTGTGTTCTTTGTTGTGTGTGGCACTGAAGTCTGCTTGGCTAGCTTAGTGGACAGCAGACAGTTGGACAGAGATATTCTCATGCCTGGGATCTGCACGTCTCCCAGTCTTTGCCAAGTGGCTGGGGGTAGTGAAGAGGCAATGTCTTCATCACTTAGCTGGGCTGGATGTTCTTGCTGTTCTGACAAAGATTTAGCTAGACTTTTTTGTTTGTTTGTCTTTGTTTTTGTTTTGGGGGGTTTTTTGAATTGGAACTACAGACACGCACTACCACACCCGGCTGTTTTTTATTTTATTGTAGAGATGAGGTCTTGCCAAGTTGCCTGGGCTGGTCTGAAACCCATGGGCTCAGGCAACCCACTCACCTCAGCCTCCCAAAGCGCTGGGATTACAGGTGTTTTGTTTTGTTTTAAATAAATGCTCCCCAGATTGCTGCAAGCCTTTGTTTCCATAGTCCTAAACAAGTTGATTCTGACCATTTTTTCTATGTTTTTGTTGCTTTTATGGAGAAAAAGATTTTCAGAGGTCTTTATTCTACCATTTTCACTGATACCATTCCAAGAAATGTGCCTTGAAACAGAAAGATACCATTTATTTTGCCTGTGAATGAGAATACATCAGAGAAAATGAGAGTATCCCATGCTGGCAAGAATGTGGGGCCACAGTGGAAGGCATGTAAATTGGCACGTTCATGGCCATATCTGTAACATTTGTTGCACTGTACATTGATGCATTAATTTTACAAATAGAAATCCTGCCTAACGAAGTCACCTAAAGAGGCATAAAATGTATCTGTTGCCATGATTATGCCCCAGAACTGGAAGCCACCTGCACATGCAGGAGTGGGAAACAAGATGTGGATAAAGTTGCTCAACAGGACTATCTCGATTAGAGGAAGACATCAAAAAGAGAGAAAGGCTGTTTGTCACATGCTGATAGTTGCCCTTGGTTATGAGGTTGTGGGGAGTTTTTTCTGTTTGTTGATGCTTTATTGTGCTTTCAAAATGTTTGGATGATAAGCACATCCCAATTTGATCATCAGGAAATAAATAAGCAAAGTAAAGCCAGGGGCTCACCCCGTCCCGATGCCCTCAGGCATGAGTTCTGATTCCTGCCCTGGGCATGGCAGCAGGGAATGTCAGGGGGAGAAGGTTCTCTAGGCTCTAGGGTTGATTTCTGTCCTCTGGAACCCACCCTGCCATGTCTAATATGAGGCCTCTGGCTCCTTGAGCTCCCACAGAGGGCAGTTCAGCTCCTCTTTCTGGGCTCCCTGCGGGTAGGTATGTGAGCCGAGGGTCACTCCTGCGCCATCACCAGGCCCACATGCCATCCTTCCTATTGCAGGTTTCCTGAGGACCCCCGCACTTGGACTGTGGACCGCCAGCTCCTATGGGGGGAGGGCCTACTCATCACCCCAGTGCTTGAGGCCGGGAAGGCCGAAGTGACTGGCTACTTCCCCACAGGCACATGGTACAACCTGCAGATGGTGAGACGTGGGGCCACGAAAGCCTGAGGGTTGAAGAGACCAGAGCAGCCTCTGTGGGTCTGCCCTGGTGGTGGAAAGAGGAGCGTGCGTCTGTTGAATCCGGCTGTGTGCCAGATCCTCGCTCGGGTGTTCTGGGTGTATCACCCAATCTGCTCCTTACAGTATCCCTGTTTTCCAGAGAGACAACCTGTTCGAGTCCCGCAGCCATCACTGAGGCCACACTGTACCCTTGACCATGGGTCCAGGCCTCTCGGTCTCTGTCCCCACTCAGTGGCTGGCAAGTCCCACTTTGTCTGCCCCAAAGACCTCGGCCCAGCTTGTGTGCCGGGCCTCCATGGAGCCCTGGAAGAGGGAGGCTGTGGCTACCGAGGATGGTGTGGGGGCCTCGGTGCTGCCCAGGACCCTTCTCGAGGTGCTGTCTCCCTCCAGGTGCCAGTAGAGGCCTTTGGCAGCCTCCCACCTCTGCCTGCAGCTCCCCATGGGCCAGCCATCCACAGCGAGGGGCAGTGGGTGACGTTGCCAGCTCCCCTGGACACCATCAACATCCACCTCCGGGCTGGACACATCATCCCCCTGCAGGTACTAAGCCAGGCAGCTGCAGTGGAGGTGTGGACTCGGCACTGTGGAGCTGGGGGAGGCACAGGAACCCAGGGAGGGGCTTCTGGGGAGGTGCTACCCCCAGTGGAAGGAGACCAAGGTGCCAGCCAGGCCAGTGGGGGGACAGCCCTGCAAAGGACAAAGCACAGCCCAGTAGTAACTTGGTGGTCCACACAGCAAAAGCTCCGCCAGGCCCAGCCTCTAGCCACTGTGGTATGACACTTGAAGGGTCTCGGGCCATCTGATCAGCTAGCATTAGCCAGGGTAGGTACCATGGGAGTCCAATCCCCTCGGCCATAGGACAGATCCAGGTTCCTCGCAGCATGGGGCCATCTCGGCCTAGTGTCCCTGCTCTGGAGGCTTCTACCAAGGACAGTGACATCATGTGTCCACCCCCTCTCCAGGGCCCCGGCCTTACAACCACTGAGTCCCGCCGGCAGCCCATGGCCCTGGCTGTGGCATTGACTGTGGGCGGGGATGCCCGAGGGGAGCTGTTCTGGGACGACGGGGAGAGCCTGGGAGTGCTGGAGCGTGGGGCCTACACACAGGTCACCTTCCTGGCCAAGAATGTGAGTCCTGGGACTGCCCAGGCTGGGTGCGGGCCGCCTCGGGGGTGACTGCCTGATGCGGTAAAGGGAGCTGGGCTAGGATCCGGGGGCAGTCACCTGCCCTGGGTGGGCACTCCCTGGATCAGCAGCTGAGGTGGGGGCATGCAGCTCTGCCCTCTTATCTGCACAGAGGCCATCTCTCTGATGCCATCACAAGTCCCTGTTCTGATAGGGCTTCCCTGGCCCCGCCACCTGCTGACACCTCTGCCTTCTCATTCCATCTCTCTCTGCTCGGCCCAGAACACAATCGTGAACGAGCTGGTGCATGTGGCCAGTGAGGGAGCTGGCCTGCAGCTTCAGAAGGTGACCGTCCTGGGAGTGGGCACCGCCCCCCAGCAGGTCCTCTCCAATGGCGTCCCTGTCTCCCACTTCACCTACAGCCCCGACACCAAGGCAAGCGGACTCAGAGGGGCAGAGGGCTCTTGGTCTCCTAGGGTGGGTGCAGGGGCAGGAGGTTCCAGGGGTCCTGGTGGCCTGTGCCTGCCCAGCTGCTGGTAGAAGCAGAGGATGCTGGGACCTCACAGGGGATCCTCAGGGAGGAGTGGGAAGGGCTGGCCACACAAGCTGTGCCTTCCCCCTCCTGTGTCTGCACTCAGAACGTGATGGGGTCAGGATGGGGCCTCACACGCTGGGGACAAACAGCACCTCGTTTCCAGAGCGCGTGGAGGTGGCGGCTGCAAAGAGCCATGGCTTCCTGCTCCAGCTCCCCAGCCAGCTGAAGCCTCGCAAGCCAGACACATGCGTCCACACCGCCCACAGCTAGACTGTCTCCTGGGCGCTTGAGGACTCCCTGCTCCTGGGAAGTCCTGACTTTTCCTTCTTTCGTTTCCAGATCCTGGACATCCTTGTCTCACTGTTGATGGGCGAGCAGTTTCTCATCAGTTGGTCTTAACTGGGACAGCGGGTTGATCTTCACAGACAAGGCCAGTCTCCCGGCACAGCAGAACCTGTGGCACTGACCGTCCCCCTGACTGCCGTATTGCTTGCTGCGTCTACCTCCCAGGGTCGGGGCTCTGCTCTGAACAGTTTTCCCTCAGATCCCACCACTGGCCAGTGCCCTTGAGGGTCACTCTGTTGGGAATGTTGTGAAGTTTGCCTCCCCTCACCTCTCACTGGTGGGGGTGGCATGAGCCGCCACCTACTGTCTGTCCCTGACACCAGAGAGGGGGGTGCTCAGGGTGGGAGTGTTGAATCTGCACCCGAGCTCCTGCCACACACCTGCTATTCTGACCCACGAGAGGACAGGCTGGGTGGCCACCACGGGCTGCCCAGAAAGCTCCACTAGTCTGACCAGAATAAGCCCAGGGACCTTGGGAGAATTCACAGGACTTAGGAGATTCTTAGTCTGAAGTGCAATTATTTTTAGTAAAAGGGGCATTTGGGATCACGCTTCTGCTGGTCTTTCTGGGATTTGGGGACAGGGAGGATGCGTCCCAGGGCCACGGCCTAGAGGCCGTCACTTTGTCCTAAGTGAGCTCCCAGACATCCTGGGGGGGGTGTATTGTCCTCTGCCTCTCTCAAGTCGGCATCCGTCACATCCTCACATCCCGCCCATCTCGCCCCACATCACCCCGTGTGCCACGTCACCTCAAGTTCCCACGTCCCCATGCCACCCTCATGGCCCCACTTCACATCACATCCCACGTCACGCCACATCCCGACACCACCTTTAAGTCCCCACCTCATCCTTGTGTCCCCATGTCACCCCCTGACCCCATGTCGCCTCACCTTCCCACGTCACCCTTATGTTCCCATGTCACCTCACATCCCCACGTCACCTCATGCTCCCATGTCACCTCACATTCCACATTACTCATCCTAAGGTGATGGAGAATGTCTGAGTGGACCGGGTGTCAGGCATACCGGGTGGGAGCTGTGGGACCCCCGGGCTGTGTGAACACGAGGGCGTGCAAGGGCTTTCCAACAGGGGGGCCTAAGACTTTAGACTGAGGCCAGAGTTCTGTTCCCAGGTGGCACTGTTAAAGGTGAACTTGGGACCAGCTGCTCCCGGGCAATTCTGGAGAAAGGGAAGGCCACTTATTTTATTGAGGTAATGGCACCAGCAGAAATCATTGTCCTTATCTGGTCAGACACTTCATTTTGTCACCTGGAATTGATGGGGTCAAAGAAGTGGCCAGCCTCAGTGCCCTCTGCAGAGGGAAACATTATTTTTGTCGCCTTCTTGAAAACCAGGAGTAGAAAGCACAGTGACCTCCCTGAGGGGCAGCATGTCTGCCTAGGTGGACCAGTGCCCCGTCTTTGGGGTCAGTTTCTAGAGGAGCAGCCTGAGCACTTCGGCCACATCACAATAAGCCCCACATGCCACTTCTACTATCCAGATCAACGTGACCGAGTCACCTCACCCTAAAGCTCATCTGTAAGGCAGACAGAGAAGTTATAATATTAACAGATGCAGGCCAGGCACGGTGGCTTGGCCTGTAATCCCAGCACTTTGGGAGGCTGAGGCAAAAGGATTGCCTGAGCCCAAGGGTTTGAGACCAGCCTGGGCAACTTGGTGAGACCTCGTCTCTACAATAAATCACAAAAACTAGCCAGGTGTGTTGGCGTGTATCTGTAGTTCCAACTACTTGGAGGGCTGAGGCAGAAAGATCGCCTAAGCCCAGCGTGTCAAGGTTGTGGTGGCCATGAGCATGCTACTGCACTCCAGCCGGGTGACAAGAGTGAGTGAGACTCCAACTAAAAAACAAAACAAAACAAAGATGCTGCATCGTCTCATCCTAGTCCTGTTTTGGGTTAAGAAGCAGGGGCACTGTCATGAGGCAGGCCCAGAAGGTGACATAGAGGGGACCACCAGTGCAGGTGGAGTGGATGCAAGGGGCCGTCTGGGCCATGCTTCCTGAGGAAGCCATGTGGAGTGGATGACATACACAGGGAGACCCCCCTGCGCATGTCCACTGCTTCCAAGTAACTGGAGATAAAACAGGAGACGGAAGGGAAAGGAGTGAGGAGGAGCGCCTCCCTCCCTGGGAGGCAGCCCACACTCCAATGCTTCTGGCCTTGGTGCTAAGGGCATTTGCTGCTCTGTCAGGCCCACCAAGGTCTGTGATGGATGCTTGAGATGGTCAGGAAGGACTGATAGAGCTTGGTGGCCTCTGGTGGACTAGGCTGACCATCAGGTTCCTCACCTTCGCCCAGCCTCAAAGGGCCACTGTGGCCTCTGCCCTTTACAGGTTCTGACCCTCCTTTGACTGCTGTAACAAAAAATAGACCAGGTAATTTACAAACAACAGAAATGGACTTATCACGGCTCTGGTGGCCAAGAAGTCCAAGATCAAGGCTGACTCAGTGTCTGGTGAGGGCTGCTCTCTGCTTCATGGATTGCGTCGTCTTTGCCAGCATGTGACAGAAGGGGCGAACGAGCTCCCTTGAGCCTCTTTCCTAGGGCCTAATTCCATTCCTGAGGACATCCCTCATGACCTGATCACCTCTCAAAGGCCCCACCTCCTAATACCACCTCACTGGGGATCAGGTTTCAACATAGACATTGCACTGGGATACAAACCTTCAGACAGTGGCACAGGGGTATCAGGAGTCCTGGGTGAGGAGCTCAGCATGATATGGAACATTGCCCCCCCCATGTGGGAAGGGATAGGATGGGGTGAGGAGAGGAATGAGTGCTGTCTTCTAGGAGGCTGGGGGTCTGCCCACATAGCAATCCACAAATCATAGCATTGCACGTGGGACACGAGCCCGCAGGCACTTGGCAGTGCCCTAGACAGCTTCATTTTTGTTTTGTTTTAATTCGAGATGGGGGTGGAAGGGTTCTCACTGTGTTTTCCAGGCTGGTCTTGAACTCCTGGCCTCAGGGAACCCTTCTGCCTCGGCCTCCTAAAGACCTGGAGTTACAGGCATGAGCTACCACACCCTGCCCAATCAGCTTCATCTGTTTTCTTTTTCTTTTTTTTTTTTTTGAGTTGGAGTCTCACTCTGTCACCCAGACTGGAGTGCAGTGGTCGCTCCCGGCCACCGCAGCCTCGACCTGCTGGGCTCCGGCGATCCTTCCGCCTCAACCTTCCAAGTAACTGGAACTACAGGCACGCACTACCATGCCAGGCTGATTTTTTTTTATTTATTGTAGAGATGAGGTCTCGCCAAGTTGCCCAGGTGGGTCTCGAACCCGCGGGTTCAGGCAATCCACTCACCTCAGCCTCCCAAAGGCGCAGGATTACAGGCTGAGCCACCGAGCCCGGCTTTCATCTGTTTTCTAACCAGTGCCTGGTACTGGCTCTGCCTCAGAAGAAGCTTAGTAAACTTAGGTGAATTTTATTTTTTTGTGGTTTTTTTTTTAAAGCAGGATTTAAGAGAACAGAAAAGCTGCCACAATGGGAGGAGACCCGAGGGAATTGCCCAGTTTAGGTGAACTTTAAAGCAGTGTAGCTGTGGATACCAGGGAGCCTCATGGTGGAGACTCCTGGTGCCTGAGGTATGCAAGTTGGCATCCTTGCCTTGGGCCTTGCCTTGGGGTTCCAGGCGATGAGTTATAGCATGTGGCCAGGGCCAGCTGCAAAAGCGTGGGACTCGCACAGGCCCACAGGGCCTGGAGTCCAGAAAGATCACACTAGGTTTAATAATCTGCTGTTGCCATCTTGACATTCTTAATAACTTTGTAAGAAGAGGGCCCATGGCATTCACCCCCACCCCCAACTTTGAAGAAGAATCAGGGTGCTGAGGCAGCCCCTACATGTTTCTCAGCTACTTTGCAGCCTTCCATGATACAAATCAATAACATTAATAACCCATGATGTTGCCTGCAGAGAAGCCCTCTCTTGGCCGCTGTGGGGCCTTGTGGGCCAATTCTTGTTCTCCTTGACCCTGGTGGAGGCCAGAGAGGAGCAAATGCCACCTCCCCCCGCCCCCCGCTCCCATGCCTGCCTGCCCTTTGAAGCCTGCAAAAGGACACACTGCTGGGATTATGACGGAGGGAGAACCCAGATGAGAAGGTCTCATCTGAACAGGTGGTTTACCCACACACAAGGGCAAGTAGCAAAACGCAGCTCAACATTTGCAGAAAAGACCGGCTTCTTGAGCATCACCTGCAGCTGCTCTCCTGGCCTCCTGAATGACCCCACCTGTGGCGCCGGGAGCCTGGAGATGCAAGCAACAGAGTGATTACAGCTACTTAATCAAGAAGGGTTTATGGAAAGAGCGGAGCATCCAAGAACAGAATGCGCAGTCAGAACCGCCATGCACAGAATACGCCCACTCTGGGCCGGGTGCTGACCTTCATCCTGGGTTGAAGCATCAGCTGAAACAGAGTCCTGTCATTGTGCTGCCCCTATCAGAAAGGTATACTTAATGGACAGAAAACTATACATATTTAAAATGTACAATTTATTTATTTATTTTCTATTTTATTTTATTTTATTTTATTTTTTGAGTTGGAGTCTCACTCGGTCGCCCAGACTGGAGTGCAGTGGCCACTCCCGGCCACCACAGCCTCGACCTGCCTGGTTCCGGCGATCCTTCCGCCTCAGCCTTCCGAGTAGCTGGAATTACAGGCATGCGCTACCACGCCCGGCTGATTTTTTTATTTTTATTGTAGAGATGAGGTCTCGCTGCCCAGGCGGGTCTCGAACCCGCAGGCTCAGGCAATCCACTCACCTCAGCCTCCCAAAGGCGCGGGATTACAGGCTGAGCCACTGAGCCCGGCTTAAAATGTACAATTTAAAAAATTTAAAATTTGGTCCATTTTAACATAGATTGTATATATCTGTGAATCACCTCTATATTCATACATGCATAACCATTGTCCCCCCACTTTTCCCCTACTCCTTTGTAATCTCCCACCCCAGTCTCCAGTCCCCCACTAATTGGTAACTACTGGTCTGCTTTTTGTCAGTATAAATTTGTTTGCATTTTTTAGAATTTTATATCAAGGGGCTTTTTTTTTTTTTTTTTTGGTCTCACTAATACTACTCATAATGTCTTCGAGTCCTTTTTTATTGCAAAATAGTTTTCCATTGTATTGATATATCATAATTTCTCTATTCATCTGTTATGGACATCAGGATCGTTTCCAGTGTTTGACTATTATGAATAAAGCCGCTATGAGCAATCATGGACACATCTTCAGCAGACGCGATTTCATTTCTTTCGGGCAAGTAGCAAGGGTGATATGGTCAGTTCATGTGGGAGGTGTGTGATTAGTGCTTTAAGAAAATGTCAGGACAGGCACAGTGGTTCAAGCCTGTAATCCCAGCACTTTGGGAGGCCGAGGTGAGAGGATTGCCTGAGCCCAGGAGTTCGAGACCAGCCTGGGCAACTTGGCGAGACCTCATCTCTATGATATATCAAAAAATTAGCCAGAAATGGTAGTGCGCGTCTGTAGTTCAAGCGACTTGGAAGGCTGAGGCGGTAGGATCGCCTGA